TTATTTCTATCTTTGACCTCTTTGGGATATATATGCCCATCAGGAGGATCTCTGGGTCAAAGGTATAGACATTTTAGTCACTTTCTTAGCACAATTCCAAACTACTTTTCAGAATGGTTGGACCAATTCACAACTCTGTCAACAGTGTATTAGTGTGAGTGCCTTTGCACAACTCCTTCAACATTGAATATTTCCATCTTATGTCATTCTGTATCAACTAACTAGGTATGACATAAAACTTCAGAAATATATTGATTTACATTTCTCTTATTATAAGTGACTTGGGAGCAATTTTTCAAATGGCTAATAGTTTGAAACTAGTAAATAGTTAGTAGCTCATCTTTTGAGAACTGTTTGTTCATATTCTTTAATACACTAAAATCTTTATCTATTTTTTCTGTTTAGTTTTTGTGACTGCCTTTCTTCCTCACGTGGTTAGCCATATCTGTGAAATATATCTGATCTAGTTATCTGCTCTTTTTTAATATTAGGTTGCAGATCCATTTTGAACTAAATATGGTAGATGTTTTAAGATGTGAGTTTAAACTAAATTTTTGCCAAATTGCTTTCCAGTCTTCCCAGCAATTCTGTCAAATGATTCTTCCCCAACGGTTTATGTTTTGAGGTTAAATGTAACTCAATTTAATAGGCATTTACTAAGTGCCTATTATGTGTCAGGCACTGTTAGACTCTTGGGAAACAAAGATAACAGTGCCTGCTTCAAGTAATTTATGTTTTGCTTTATCCTTTGTACTTCTTTCAGAACAGAAATTCTGCCCCAATCCATGTATATTCAAGTGTATAATACATTGTTGATGCTCACTGAAGAGCACCGTGCAAAAGGGTGGAGGAAGACGGCACAAAAGTGAACATAACACAACACAACACAACCAGAACATAAAAGGGGACATGGACTATTTCCTGCTCTAGGCTGTGGATGATTGTATGTACTCTCCTACACAAAGCCAGTCTAGATGTACTGCGCAGTCTGTTTGGATAGTCTTGATCAGACAAATGGTTCAAGAAGAAAATGAGATATTCTATTCTTGCTATTCTTTCTCCTTGCCCTTCTCTGCTCTAAAGTTTTTCAGATTCCTGATCTAGAATAAGGGTTTATAACTGGAAATCTACAAAGCCCCAGTGGTTTTATTTTAGGGAAGTTCATGAACTTGGATGAGAAAAATATAACATCTTTAATTTCACACCTATAAATGAAATTTAGCATTTCTTCCAATTATGAATTTTTAAAAAAATTCTTAGAAGGAGTCCATAGGCTTCAACAGATTGCCGAAGGGGTCCATGACCCAAAGAATGTTAACAATCCCTGATCAATACTGAACCACTTCCCTCCTTTCCTTCATTTCTCCTTTTCCTCTCAGTTTTCTGGAAATATCATTATCTATTAACACTGGTGTTTCCTCCCAGCACAAAGATCACCAGAGGCCAAAAGACCACTAGGAATAATTAACAATGTGCATATATAACATGGAGAAATGGCCCAACTATGTAAATGATTCATAAATAGAAAGAAAAATGTCTTCATGTGGACTGTTCATATGAAATGAGGCAAAAGTGAAATTAACCACAAAAAGAAAAACTGAGGAGAAAAACACATCATGGGAAAAGATATGTTTTACAAAAAGCTGTCTGTCTGATGCTTTTGTTCCTATAAAAAAGAGCAAAACATCAAAATATCTACCTGTTAATCTGAGCTTTGAATTCTTTGCTTTGCTGAGTCCATCTGACTTTTTCTCCACTCAGTCCATCGATAAGGGCTGATGCTGCCTGCATCTTTCTCCGGCATGATTCTGCATCATTCAACAAGTCCTAAATCCAGAAATGGATAAGGTCTTAAGGAAGTTTCAAATAGGGTTAATCAAACACCCAACAGATTTATTTTTTACACAAAGTTCAGAAAGACTTCCTCCATTTACAAAATAGTCCTAAAACTGAGCACCACAACTAACATCTTAAATACTGAATTATATCATTGATTAACATCATATTTTAATATTTGCTTCCATAAAAGTTCAAGGAAACAATTTAATGAAGGAGAATCAAACATTCACATCAATAATGGCACTATTTCATTAATTGTTTTCAGTATTTTAAAAAGTAGGTTTAAATGAATAAAATATACATTTTTTACAAAAATTACCTTTTGATAAAAGGATACCTCATTAATTCATATTTACTTTATAGTCAAGTGACTATAAATAATCAAGAATTTGATGTTTCTCTCTTAAAGCAATATACTTACATGTAAAGAAATTAGTGTTTTAGGTTCCAATGTATGTGTCATAACCAACGAATAAGTACATTTACTATTATGTATTTCCCTTAAAGACTTGTCACTTTGTTTTGGAACATTTGATTTTTATTTAGGTTAAATGATACATGCAGTATGAATAATTGAACACAATTTCATTATGTGGTCCTACTCTCATAATCTTATATATAAAGTTTAACTTACCATTTTCTCATTCATGGCTGCATCAAATTTTGCTTGTACTTTATCTAACTCAGCTTGCTTTTCATCCAGCAACGCCTGAGCCTTTCCTAATTCAGCATTAGCCACTGCCAAGCGTCCTTCTTGCTTTGCCAAATTAGCCTTACAATGAAGAATACATGATTAGTATTATTGAATAGCTGTTAGTTTTCAATATTCATCATTAACTCTTTCAATATATGTAATTGTTAAGCAATAACCCAGAATATTAGAATAGTAGAAGAGAAATCATCTAGTCCAACCCCTTCATTTTATAGAAAAAGAAACTGAAACTTTTGGAGGTAAGATGTCTTTCCCAAGGTCACAAGGCAGAGCAAGGACCAAGTTATTTTAATTTTGGCTCAGAGTTCTTTCCATGACAGTATGCTGCCTCAGCTATTTTACTAGTAATAGAACATTTTATTATCTATAAGAATACTTTAAAATTCATTGGTGAATTAATGGATAGGAGGATGATCCGTATATAAAGCTATGCCTATATGTGTTTTAAGGTTTTTTTTTTTATTTTTCAAATTAACAAATATATTTAAGCACCTAGTATTGGTCAAGGCATTGGGAATACAAAAGGGACAATCAGTCCTTCTCCTTAAGGAGATATAATCCAAGAGTGGAATGATACATGTACATAAATGACTATTATAAAAATCAGAAATAGAATTCCATGACATTAGGTCCAGCTCTCCACCTACCACAACACTTAGCTGCCTCCTAAGAAAGGTCAGCCTGGTTAGATCCCATCATATCATTTGGAGACTGGTAGGATGAGAAATGGGAACAGGCAAAGATTTTATCAACTGCCCCATGATAGCTCCAGTGATAGCTTAACCAGACTTAAACAAATCCTTTGTGGTGCATACAGATGCTACCTATAAGACCTGGGAGTGGTCTTATGCTAAAAAAGTGATCATCATCAAAAAACCTATTGCATTTACAAATAGAGGGCTTACTGACAGTCAGATGTGTACTGCTGTACACAAACTGGGAGTTCTTGGCTTTGGAGTGGGCTTTCACTGACAAGCTCCAAGAATTCAGCTTCAAGTATGGAGAGACATTAATCTACTGACATATTTTGACCAGCACTAAATTGGATGCTGCCTGTTAAAGACATGTATCGGTATGGCTAATTCTGATTTTGGCATGCACTACAGGCTAGGGAAGACTAACACAGATACACTACTCAGTCTAGAAAGGCTGCATGAGGGAAATTATGTGCTAAGTTATGATGCTTATCGTGCACATTTATAGATGCTTAAGTATACCCTGTATAATTGATAAACATTGCAAATTTTTCTATGTGCTGTTCATCCAATTGCATATTATAGTTTGAAAATTAAACATTCTTTATCCACTGGGTTTTTTGTTTTTGGTCCAGTCCTGAAATACTGTGGGTGGGGAATGGTATAAATTACATGCTGCCCACCCCACAAGTTAAAAATTTGCAATATCTATAAATCACACATGGCACACTTAATATAACAATAGAAGAGTAAAAATGCCCTACCCCTCCTCAAATGTCTCTTTGCCACTGAAGGAAAATAAAAATTAATACTGGATCTGATAACAATTACTAATTCTCATATTAGTAATTAAATGATAGTATTCTTTGCAGATTTCTTCCGGAATGTTATTTTGTCTTTTGTTGAGGATTAAATGCCCACCACTCTCAATAGTCTAACTTGAACTCTCCCTGAGGTCAGTGACACTCTGCAGGGTTGAGATAATGCAAAGGAAGTAAAAAGGCTAAGAAAAGGTAAGAGGGCATGAAAGAAGGAATGCAGAATTTTTAATAGAGATATCTGCACCTATTAATCTAGACTGTGCCCATTCTTTTAAAATGAGAGATACAGGAGATTTATTTTACTGAACATCAATTTACTGTAGGGGGACAGCCCTTTACCTTCAGAGGCAACACCTCCTTGTTAATTCCAAAAAAAGTTGCCATAGCAAGTGTCCAAGACAGCAAACCAGCAACATTACCGCAGACCTTTTTACCATTTTCGAAAGTATAATCATCCATATTAAAATATGGCTGTAATAGCTCTACTGTCTCTTCATTAATAGTGTCCTTTGGGAACTGCTGTAGACTCTGTAAGAATCCAGCCCCACTCATCAACTGCAAAAAGAGATTAGATTTATGGCTTTGGGGAAAACAGGACAATTTTTTTCCCTTCAGACTGTTAGTTTCTACTCTGAATTAAAAAAAAAAAAATTAAACCCTGGGTCTAAATGGATGGCTCAAGGATACTGTGTTGATGAGCCAGAATTTGCAACTTTCGATTCTCTCTTCAGGTTTCCATAAGGAGTGAAGAAAGAAGAAAAAGAAAAATGCCTTCCCACCCTCCTGATTAATGCTACCACCCAAGCATGTGTCCCCATAATACATGTTCCTAATTAGAAGCAGGGCTAAGGTGAAGGCTGGGGACAGGACAAGGGCTGGGGACCTGGAAAAGGGTGGGGCAGACCCAATAATGCTCGATTCTGTTATTTCTAGGTGAACCACCTCTTCTAATACATGTGCCCCCGATTAACATTCATAACCAACTTTGGAAACCATTTGTAAACATACCCTTCAAAGGCTGCTGGGTAACCACTGAACTGTTCTGCGCAGAAGCAATGGAGATCTCAAAATGAGGATGGAGGGAGAATTGGGTAAATCATATAAAGAGAAGGCCAGTCTGACGTTCAGATTCTGTTTGCCTTTACCACATTGTTAAAGGCCCTCTATCCTTGTTCATTCATCCAGTACACATTGATTGAATGCTTTCAGGGTGCCAGAAAATTGGAATGGGTGCTAGAGGTACCTAACCTAGACAATTCAGAACTTCTATTCCTAGGGAATTAATGCATTGTACTCACTTTCAATGACTCTCCCCAGGATGGTTTACAGCAAGGCTTTTCAGGATCCATTGTGACAGGGTCAATCTTCTTTTGGAATAATAACAGACAACAATCCATGATTCTCATAATAAGATGAGGAGGTTTTGCAAGCTTCCTGACTGTAGCTATATCATTTGGTTTGATAGTCTGTGTAAAGAATGGATACATTAAAACCATTTCAAAGATTCTCTAAAGTGATTTTTATTAACTCCCAGGATCATAAACCTTGAAAGGACCGTAGAGTGTCTACCCAGGCATTATCCTAGTTAACTGTGGCCCCACTGATACAGCATTTTCCTTTAACACTTGTTGCTCAGATATTTGAACTAACTATGAGTCATCATTCATTAATCAATCATCTTCAATGCTCTATCAATGAGTTAGGTTAACACCTTATCAAGGAATTCACCTATCAAGAGAATATTGCGCCTTGTTAAATAGGTATAACAACAAATATCCAAGAAAGCCTGGGCACACACACTAGATAATCTTGAAAAATCATCTAATCAACGGCCCTCTTTGTACTTGAAGTACACTTAAAGTAGCTTAGACAATAGAAAATCTATCCAACTTTAAAAGTCTACTGGAGCCTAAGAAATCTTCATTATCAAGAAATAGCTAGCCCAAATAGTTCAATTCACTGTATTTTTGTCCCTCTTTCAATAGAAGTTTGATTTATGAACATGAAAATAACAAGTTACATAAAATCAAGACCTTTTTAAAGCTTAATTTGTAATTGAGAGAATTAAATCAATGGAAATGCATTTCAAGCTAGGCAGTAAATCACACTAAGAACTCAATTTTGTTTCCTGAATGAGAAAATCTCATGGTTAACTTCATGATGGGACTATCTTGTTAATTTGAGCTTCCCTTGAAGTCTACACATTTGCTTACATTCAGGGCTGCTTCTGCTTCTTCTAAAGCTGGCCTGGCTGCCTCTAGCTTGGACTCAGCCTTTACTTTCTCACTGTCAATTTCATCAACAATTTTTTGGGCTTTGTCTTTCACCTCTTGAACTTCATTTTTCACTTTGGCTGATGCTTGGGCACTTACAGTGACTTCTGCTAGCACCTGTGAAATTGTGAAACAAACAAACAAAACAAAAGAACAATGGAAACCATGTTTGGAATAATAGTGAGGGACTATTTACCTCTTACAGAAGTCAGCTAGATCTAAAAACAGATAATACCCCTAAGAGAGAAGCTAGAGAGTCTGGCATAGTGTAGTGAGAGGTGGCTAAAGAGAGACAGAAGAGGGAAAGAGAAGACAGAGGACAATGATCAGAACTCTGAAGGAGCAGCCAGAGAGGTAAGAAAACCAGGAGAGGAAAAGAAGTTCTGTCTTGTTTGATATTTTTATCTGTGACCTGGATGGAGATATGGAAGGCTTGCAAGTCAAGTCTGCAGATGACATGAAACTGGGATATATTCACATTACACTGGACAACAGAATCAAGACGATTAAAGAACTTAACAAGTTAGAATTATGAGCTCAAACTAATAAGATAAAATTAAAAGGGATAACATAAAGCCTTGCAATTACACGTCTAAAAAATCAACTATACACACATAAAATATGGGAGACATAGCTTATCGGCAGGTCTAGCACTAAAACTTATAGCTTTTATTAGGCTAAAACTTAGATATGAAAGAGCAATAGGGCAGGGCTAACACAAAAGCTAATAATTTTCTGTATTAACAGAAATGTGGTTTCCAGGATGAGGGAGATAATAGTTTTAAAATACTTTGCATTGGTTAGGGCCCACATGGTATATTGTGCTCCATTTGAGATATGTTTTAAGAGGGACAGTGTCAAAACAGGACACATCTAGAAAAAATAACCAATATAGTGAGGGGATCTCAATCATGCCATATAAGAAATGGCTGAAACTACTAGAAATGCTTAGCATGGAGAAAATAGTTGTCTTTATCTACTTTTTCTTTTTCTAGCTTTTTTTAGTTGCATGACCAATTCATTTATCTGCTTTTTCTCTATTTCACTGATGTAAACAATTAGAGATATAAAATTTCTCCTAAGTACCACTTTGGCTGCATCCCATAAATTTTGGTATATTTTCTCTTTGTTGTCATTTTCTTTCTTTTTTTTTTCTATTTATCATTGATAGAATTTATTTGGGATTGACTGAAAAAAAGTCATCCTAGCTAGGTGACATTCTGATGGGCTAAGATCTACTTTCACATATGGTTTTTTGCATATTTTATTAATTTATTTTGATTTATCAACAGTTACTTCCACATGCTTTTGAGTTTACACTTTTTCTCCCTCTTCCTCCCCACCATCCTCCCCAAAATGGTGCATAATCTGATATAGGCTATACATTTACATTCCTATTAAACATATTTTCACATTAGTGAAGTTGTAAGTAAAAATTAAAACCAGTAGGAGGAACCATCAGAAAGAGGAAACAAAACTCAACAGAAGAGAAAAAAAAAAGACAGCAATTCAACTTTCAAAGTTATGATTACTATCTGTCTTTTTCTCCATCCTTTTTCCCCTTTTATGCCTTTCTTTCTCTTCTCTCCCTTCCCCCCCTCACCAGTACTTTGCTTTTGACCACTGCCTCATTCAGTCTCTCCTCCCTTCTATTATCCTCCTTCCCCCTTTTCCCCTTTGCCCCCACTGCTTCTTCCCTCCCTTCCATCCCCCTCCCTTTTCTTTCCCCTTTTCCCTCCTACTGCCCATAGGGCAAGTTAGATTTCCATACCTAACTGATTATGTTATTCCCTTCTTGAGCCAAATCTGATGAGAGTAAGGTTCAAACAATGCTCACCACCCTCCCTTCTTTGCCTCTGCTGTAATAGGATTTTCTGTCTTTTCCTGTAATGTAATTTACCCTTGTCTGCCTCCTCCTTTCTCAGTACATTTTCTAAGATCAGACTAATCCACTTACTTGGATCCATTTAACCCACTTGATTAGATTTTTTTTTATCATTACATCAAAGTCAACTAATATCCACCCCCTTTATGTATACTCCTTTAACATGGTGTAATAACAATACAGTTCTCAAGAGTTGCAAGTGTCATCTTCCCTTGTAGGGATGTAAACAGTCCCCCTTATTAATAACATTTTGTATCTTTCTGTCCCATTTACCTTTTTATGTCTTTCTTGAATCTTGTACTTGAAGATCAAATTTTTTGTTGAGCTCTGGTCTTTTTATGAGGAAGGTTTGGAAGTCCCCTATTTCATTGAATATCCATCTCCTCCTTGAAAAATCATGCTCATTTTTGCAGGGTAGTTGATCCTTGGCTGCAATCCAAGCTCCTTTGCCTTACAGGAATATCATGTTCCATGCCCTGCAGTCTTTTAATGTAGAAGCTGCAAGGTCCTGTGTAATCCTGACTGTGGTTCCATGATATTTAAATTGTTTCTTTCTGGCTGCTTGCAGCACCTTCTCTTTCATCTGGTAATTTTGGAATTTTGCTATTATATTCCTTGGTTGTCAATTTGGGATCTCTTTCAGGTGGTGACGTGTATTCTTTCTATGGTTATTTTACCTTCTGGTTCTAGGACTTCAGGGCAGTTTTCCTTTATGATTTCCTGAAAGATACTGTCCAGGCTCTTTTTTTCATCATGATTTTCAGGTAGTCCAATGATTTTTAAATTGTCTCTCCTGGATTGATTTTCCAGGTCGTTGTTTTACCATGAGGTATTTTAAGTTTTCATCCATTTTTTCATTTTTTTGTTTCTGTTTGACTGATTCTTGCTCTCTCATAGAGTCATTAGTTTCCATTTGTCCAATTCTAGTTTTTAACAGATTGTTTTCTTCTGTTAGTTTTTGTACTTCCTTCTTCAATTGGCCAATTGTATTTTTAAGGGATTTGTTTTCTTCAGTGTACTTTTTTTCCAATTGGCCAATTGTATTTTTTAAGGACTCTTCTACCTCTCTCATTAGACTTTTAAAATCCTTCTTGAGCTCTTCTAAGAAGGTTTTTTGGGCTTCAGACCAGTTCATATTCCCTTTTGATGTTGCAGATGTGGGTTTATTGACAATGTTGTCCTCCAGAATTTCTGTCTTGATCTCTCCTCTTCTCATCATATGAATCTGTGGTACGTTTCTTTTTATTCATGGTTTCTTTATTCCCTGGCCTTTAAAGAGACTGAGCTCTCCTGCTGGTGAACAGAAGGCACTGACCCAAGCTTCTTGTGTTGGGAACCTAGGTCTTGGTCACTGGCTTTGTGTGCTTGGCCCTCTTATTTTGGCAATTGGAGGCTGTAGGGTTTTGGCAGCTTACCTCGTGTTGGGCTGGAATCAGCAAGGCTGGAACTTTCAGGCAATTCTAGGTTGCCTTTAGCTTTCTTCAGCTCCTTTTAGATGGGTGTTTATCTGCCTGGGGCCCCTTGCAGTGCTGTCTCCCTCCTTTCTGCTAATGCACTGGGAGATTCCTTTGTGGTAGAGTGCCAGGGCAGCTGGTAGTTTTCTGGTTTCCACCAGTTCCCCCTGCCCTCACTGAGGCACTTGGAGGTCCAGGTGTTGGTGTTTGCCTGCTCTACCACCTGGGCTTCAGGATTTCCTCCCGGTTGACAGTTGGAGTTGTTGGGTTGGAATCAGCATGCCTGGGACTTTAGGAAAACTCTAGGTTGTTTTCTTCAGCTCCTTTCAGATGAATGCTTGCAGGGTGCTTATCTGCCTGGGGCCCTTTGTAGTG